TTGTCTGTTTTGCTCACTGCCATTTTCCCAGGGCCTCAGACGGCGCATGGCTGTGGGGGAAGCAGTGATTGTGTAGTCGGGTTCTATCTTCCAGCTGTGTGTGCAGAGGGAGAGAGAGAGAGAGAGAGAGAGAGAGAGAGAGAGAGAGAGAGAGAGGTCTTTTCTAGTTCCCCTAGTGAGGCATCCCCTCCACATAAACAATCTGAGTTCTTTTTACACACCCCTGGAAGCAGGACAGACATCCCAGAGCTGGGCAAGAATCTATGCAGCCATACTTGGGTGCGTGGCAGCTGTCGGGCGAGGTGTGTGGGGGTGCACATGTGTGTGATGTCTGTGCACCTGGAGCCACACTTCACGCTAAGGATGTGGGGAGCCCCTGAGTGGCAAAGGTGGAAGAGGTTGGGGCAGGTTCTTTCACAGTCCCACTGGGACTCCAGGCTCAATGGATGAAGGGCTCTATGGGGAAAACAGCAGGCTTATTTCTCTCCCTACCCTCCTGTCTTCCCCTCTGGATAATTTATATCTGTGGGGTTTTTATTGGGATATAACTCACATATTATAAAACGCACCCACATGAAGCGTGCCATTCCGTAGCATTCAGCTGTGCAGCCATCTGATTCCTGAACATCTTCAACACTGTGCATGTCAGCGGCCATTGTCCCAACCCTGTAGCCCCTACCCATTCCTTTGCCCCGTGGCTGTGCCTATTCTGCGTGGTTCTTATAGGTGGAGTCATCTGTTGGGGGCCTCCTTTCCTGTACCGGTTTGGAATACTGCAGCGAGTAATCCCTCCCTCAGGGAGAGACTGTACATCAGAGAGCTGGCAGGGCTTCTCTATGGTGACCTGGCTGTGCTGTCTTCACTTTGGTGGTCCTCGGATGAGCCTTGAGGAGAGATTTGCTGGCCCTTCTTGCACACAATGGCTGAATAAAGCTGAAAAGAACCTGGCCCCGTGAAGGATGGGCCTACCTGTGCCCAGCCTGGGATCTTCATTGCTAGGCCTAGAGTGTGTGAAAGGAAAAACCACGGTGGCAGCTGACTGTGGCTCACCACCAAGCGTGCATCCTTGGTCCTAGCAGAAGAGGGTACTTACCCCTCACATCTGCCACCCAGGCCAGTGACTGCTGCCTCTGTCCCTTGGCAGAGCGCAGTTGTTCCTCACAGACCCAGACCCATGAACACAACTATGCTCCAGGTGCCAGGCCGGGTGTCCTGGCCCCATGGACTGATGAGTGTGAGTGTGTGTGTGTGTGTGTGTGTGTGTGTGTGTGTGTGGTAGCTGCATCTGAACCATTGCTGCAAGGCTGTCTGGGATGAGAATACCAAGGCAAGCCTTGAGCTGCCCTGATTGCCACCCAGAGGTGTATGCCGACTCTGTCTGCGGAGCCCAGCTAGGCTCCAAGCCTCTGGACTTGGAAACCTCACAGGAGGACAAAGCAAGCTGGGAGAAAAACTTGCAAGTGGGCTATACTCTACAGAAGCCAGCTGGTTGAGGAGGTCATGGGCTTAGAATCTGCCTGGCTACCTTTCTTGTCCCTGTCCTAGGGCCTCGGACATAACGTGACCAGAGCCCTCTGTTGTCCGTAACCAGGACCCTAGTGTGTGTCTTCACTGTGGCAGGCAGGCAGGTAGGAAGATGAAGGCACAGCACCAGGGTCCTGTAGGCCCCGTACCTGCTCAGCTCCGCAGGATTTCTCCACCCTGCATCTTGGTTTCTTTCTGGTCACTGAGAACAAGGCCACCTCCTTGTTGGTAGTATGGGGATAAAGGACAAAGTTGTCGTCCCCAAGCCAGAACAGGTCAAGCTGGACAGACCCTGGCCTCTCCTCATCTTTGTTAAAAGAAAAGAAATCAATCACAAAAATCGGGTCACAGGATGTGGAACTTGTCTTGACTATTTCCATTTGGCAAATTAGCGATTTGAACGGACACTCAGGCAGAAGCAATGGAACGCTGCTGCTTTCAGGTTGGTGGAGAGGATTTCATTTGAGAGTAAAAGTATGTCCTGGAAGCCCTGGGCCACATGCCCACTACCCTAAACAGCATCTCTCCCCTAGCCCACCCCCCCATATATACAGGGGACTGCCCTCCCCATTTGTCCCCATGGGAACCAGACAGGTCCCCTCCTCTTGCAGGTAAAGTGGAAAGAAGAACTTCAGCTTGGCAAGGGAGTCCCAACTCTTATGTCTGCCCCTGTGAAGGCCTTGGAACTTTTGGTGAGGGCTGGATGTCCTTTCAGAAGACTGTGACTACTGCCCTGAGCTGCTGCTGCTGCTGCTGCTGCTGCTGCTGCTGCTGCTGCTGCTGCTGCTGCTGCTGCTTCTTCTTCTTCTTCTTCTTCTTCTTCTTCTTCTTCTTCTTCTTCTTCTTTGGATTTTTCGAGACAGGGTTTCTCCATAGCTTCCTGGAACTAGCTTTTGTAGACCAGGCTGGCCTCGAACTCACAGAGATCCTCCTGCCTCTGCCTCCCGAATGCTGGGATTAATGGCGTGCGCCACCACCGCCCGGCTCTGAGCAGCTTCTTATGGTCCCTCAGCCATCTAGGTTTCCAGGATGGACCCTAAGTCCCCAAAGGGACTCCAGAACTAATGAAGAAGGAGGGTTAGGCTTAGAAACCGAAAGAGGAGTTAGTGAAGCTATGGGATCCCCTCCCTCTCTAGCAGACCCTGATTGGCTGTGAGCCGCGTGGGGGAAGTGGTAAAGATGAGGACGTCTTCCTCTCTTATCTGTAAGTCGGGCTCACACTCTGTCCTCCGCACAAGCTGGCCACACAGAGTGCGTGGCCTGCAGACCTGAGGGATCAGAGAGCAGGACCACAGAGCTAGATGCAGACCCCCAAGAAAGGGGGCGACAGAAAAGCCACCTCTCTAAGATTTTGTATCATATACTTCCCAATGCCCACCCCACTGGAATCTACCCTCTGCCACTACCCATTTTCATGTGGCCGGTTCCCAAGGACATTTCTAAGCTTGAGGAGGACCTGGGCTCGACCTCTCCCCCTTTATGTTAGCGGCTATATTGAGATGTAATTCCCAAGTCATAAAATTTACCCACTGGACGGTATACAATTACCAACTTAAGAAGTTTGTCAAGTCGAACCTCTGACCCTGCAAACCTGTTTTTAGAACATTTTCCACCCCCAAAAGTTTCTTGATTATACCCTCAACTTGGTTCTCTCAAGTCCAGTGTAACATGTATTTACCAGCTTGGTGGGGAGGATGGTGTAGCCTAGGCTCCCCTTGAGCAGGTGGGCAATGAGGGATGAGCCTCTACTTCCTGCCCCTTGCACACATGGGTGTGGCATGCTTCTCCAGAAATCTGTGCTGAGGTGCTTAGCCTTGGGCCAAGCCTCTGCCCTCCCTGGAAACCCCTGACTCCCTCCTTGCTCCCTTCCCCAGCTGACTCCCTCTGGGTGGCCGCCCTTCATCCCAGGCTCAGAGCTAAGCCTACTTAATTCTTTTGATCTTGGTTTAGAAGCCGGCCCTCCAGGCCCTCCAGCCCTTCCTATCGCTGCTCTGCCAGTCTCTGCTTGCCTGACTCAGAACTCTGGACTGCGCTGGCAGCTGACACAGGCTCCCCTGGCACATGCCCTGACCTTCTTTCCTGAGTGTTGACCCCTCTGTGGGCCTGACTGGGTACTCCCAGGAGAGGCCTGGCTGGGGCAGGAACCCCAAGAACTCGGAAGAGAGACCCTTCCCCAACATCTGCTTGGAGCTGTCTTCTGTATCCTGCTCTGGGACAAGGTTTGCTGTGCCCCTACCCTGTAAGAAGCTCAAAGCCAGGGAGAGGGCAAACCTTCAGTTTATGCATCTGGCACACCTGGATTAAGTTCACTCCGTGTCCATGAGCTTCGTTTGCCCTGTCCGTAATACTGCACCATGAGAGAACATCCGGCAGGGAGTCTAACCCGAGGTGGTCCTCTGCAGGCCTGACCCTCCCCACTACCAGCCCTGCCGTAGGCGAGAGCCCTCCTTTCCTGGGGCAGCAGCCCTTGGGGTGTCTGTCCTGTGAGGGCCTCCCTGACCTCAGCCCAGTCTTACATGGCAGGTTAGCTGATAACCGAGCTGCCCTGACAGAGCCCATTCCTCTGGCTCTGCCCGAGGGGAAGCAGAAGGAACCCATGGGGCCACCTGGGCCTCCAGCAGTCGGGAACCTGGACACAGGCACTCATGCGTGCTTGCATGCACACACCAACATTATGTTCCATTGAAATTGCCCCCATGCAGACAGCTTCCCTGGAGGTATTCCAGATAAGTACGGGGACTCCAGAGTGGAACTTAGCCCCCAGGGACCTGCCCTCACCTAACTCTGGAAGCCTTCAAGACCTGGAGAGCAGGACCCTGGACACGAACCTCCTGTCCCTTGAACAGGGTTCAGCAGCTTCCAACGGTCTGTGCCCCTGTGCCCAAGGAGCCAAGACCCCACTCTGGAAACCAGAAGCCCTCTAGGGGTGCAGTAGGGTAGGAAGGCAGAAAATGTGGGCAGTTTGAAAATGGGTACGGAAGGGCTTCCTCATGCATCCTGGCAAAGAGGCTTGGAGGACTCTGGAGCCTGCTTCAGTGGGGCCCCTGCCATCTCCCCCACGAGGAAGGACATCCCACCACCCACCCACCTTCTCTGGCTCCTTCCCATCCTTTCTTGGATCTCCTAAATAACAAGAACCGAAGGAGATGGGAGATAGGTGGTTCATTCCTGAGTTGCTTTGTGTGGGGGCTCTTAATTAGACCTAATTAGACTAATTAACTTTCAAATGAGAAACTCGGAGTTTTCCTCCTCTTTCCCTCTCTTTCCAGCGCTCTCACTCTGCTCTCCTTTGGAAACTGAAGCAGGGATAAATGTTTGAATGGCTCACATCAGCCCGGGTGGTGGAAGCTGGTGGGAGAGAGAGCCTGGTCCCCTCCGCTCTGGCCTCCTCTCCCATCTGCTCCACCCCTGCTGGCTAGCTCTGGGCACTCCTCTTGGCTCCGGAGTAAGGGTGTGGTCCTGTCTCCATTCTGCAGACGCTCTTCGGAGGTTCGTTTTGTTCCTGGCACTAAGGGTAGAGAGATGTTCGCGATGCCGAGTCCCTTGGGTGCTTCTGATGGAGCAAGAAGCGGGATAAGAGAAGTTCTGGGTGAACCTTCTCGTTTCGCCTCCTCAGTCTCTGTGCCCTGTGGCCTCTGACGCTAGACCTTTGAGGTCCTCCTGCTAATCGTCCAATAAAACTCACTAGAAAACCAGAAGAGATCTTATTGATAAGGCCCAGAGGAGGTCCTGCCAAGGATTAACTGAGGTCATGCACCTTCCCCCATAATGCCCCTTGTCACACATATGCACACACACACACACACACACACACACACACACACACCTTGCACCTATGCCTGACCTCCCACAAAGGGCCTGTAGTTCTGTTTTGTTGACCAAGTTGGCCCTTCCCACAGTCATTTGGGGCTCTCCATTCTGCAGCGACTCCCACTAAGGCTGAGGAAATCGATGCTATTGATGGAAGAGCCTCCCAGGGCCGGATGTGCCTGCCCGACAGCCTCCATCTTGATCCTCAACAGCTGTCCAAGGGTGCTTGAACACCAGACAGAAGGCCTCCCAAGGTTCAGCCGAGTCCCTTCTCACTCCCTGCTTTGCTTGAGGTTCTTAGAGCATCCAGAATCACCCTAGCCTGTTCTGCCCACTTCTCCATCCCGGTCTCAAGCCCTTGTCTCACTCTTTGCAAACCTTGACACAGAACGAGTCCTGATGCCAACACCTGCAGCTTCCGTATTGATTTCCCCGCTGTCTCAGTTGGAACTGCCGAGTGGAGGCAGCCCTACATCTGAGGGGAGCAGGAAGTTGTTTCTGCTGACTTTCTAGAATGTACCTTATGCTTAGGCCTCAGGACAGGGAGCCCCGTGTGTTCGCCTTGAAGGCAGCCCTTTCTGTTTGCATGGCTCAGCAGAAGGGCCAGGGAAGGCCCAGCAGGGGTAGATTCCAGCAGGCTAGTCTGGACACCATCTGGCCAGAGATGCCCAGAGCTCCAGGCAGACAAGGGCTCAGCGAGGGTCCTGTTCTGCATTTGGCCATCTTGACAGGGGCAGGTACTCTGTACTGGGCAGGAAGCTGGCCGTCAGGAACCTGGCCAGGGGACCTAGGCAATGTGGATCCCAGCCCTGCGTGGGCATTGAGTAGCTAGGCCTTCGTGGCTTCCTTTTTTGTCTGTTCAAAGCCACACTCTGGAATTCAAACTCAAATTTGCAAGGCAAATGATCTGACTAGGGGTTAGAGAGGTTGGCAAGGGGCCCAGCATCTCCATTCCCCACCCTGGGGTCCACTTGGCCTAGAAAGCGTCCCTTGAGTGTTAACAATCTCCTATCTGGACCTCCATCAAACGTTCCACCCTGACACTGAGGCCAGAGTCATCCAGCCTCGATGGCCTCCCACTCTCTCAGCGCAAAAACCTAGTAAAGGGCAGGGCAGGGTCTCCCAGTGGGATTCCAAGTTTAGCAGGTAAGATGGGAAAGGGGTCATGCCACCTGCCTTGCTCTCCTCCCATGGAAGCCTCTGTTTGGGAATCCCTGCAACTCTGGCAGTGTCAGGGAACTCTCAAGGTGATGTCCCTCTCAAGGTGGCACCCCAGGAATGTTGTGGAGAATGACTCCATTGGAAAGAAAAGTAGGCAACGGTTGGCTTTTTCCACACAGCCACCTGCCTTTTCCCAACTGGCCTGGGTTCTGCTTTCCTTCCAGGCCGCAGCCAGCCTGTCCCCTCCTCCTCCACCTGCTGCCTGCAGGCCCCAGCCCCGCCCCCAGCCCAGCCCTGCCCTACTCTCCCTCCCATCCCCACCACCCTGCAACACCCGAGGGCTTTGTTAGCACAACTCGGTTCAAATGTCTGATTAGTCCTTAGGAGATCGCGGGGTCAATTTTCTACAGCTCCTTCCTCTCCATTTAACTAATTTAACTGCACGATTGTTACAAATTTCATTTTATTATAGCCCCGCTTCTCAGTCCAATTGAATTACTAAAATCTCATTTTCTCAGAAGTGCTGAATATGTAATTAGAGGAAAAATTATGCTCCTGCCTGCCTATTAGGCCAGTTCATGCATGTGTGCACATGTGACAGGCGAGAGTCGCTGTGAGGTGGGCTTGGCCAGAGGCGGGGCTGCAACCCAGCACATTCCCGTCAGGGACAGCCACGTGGAGGTCAGCACCATGCAGTGTCGGGTGCCCGGCTGTGTGGAAGGGATCATGCGTGCACAGGCAGCCCCGTGATTGCAGGAGAAGAAAACCCCATTAGCTCCAGATTACAAATTAAACAATATCTGTGGGCCATTGTAATTAAGGGGAAATTCAATTCCCTTAGAATGCCCCATTATGCCTGGCTCGGCAAGGTAAAGTGGGGCTGTGCAGCCCCTTCGGTGGGAGCAGAGGTCACAGGGAACTTTAGCCCCAGATCTGCTCCCTGCATGGTTCCTGGGTCGCAGCAGGGCAGCAGGAGAGGAGGGCATACTGAGGCTCTCAGTGGCTCCTTCCGTTCTGATCTGCAGGTTCTAAGGCTTCTTACCCACTTCCAGGAGGATCCTTCTGTGGACCCACAGACTCCTTCCATCCCTGCAGGGCTTGGTGTTGCAGGCAGCCCTGGATCTCCTGAGATTGTTGGTACGGCTTAGAGAGGGATGGCCATGCTCAGCTGCAGGAAAGGGGCTTCCAGGCACCCCTGGGTGTACTGCATTGTGGAACACTGTGCGAGGTCACTTCGAGTGCTGGTGCAATTCCCTGGGAGGTCCTGAGGGGCCGTGTGCCATACTGGCGCCATGAGGTCTCTCGGGGCTCCATGAACAGTGTAGGGTACTCCCAGCTAAGTGTAGGTGTTCCCCCTCTGTGTCCTGCATCTCACTCCCCCTGTCCTGTGGGCTCTGGGAACATCTGGGTTTCTTGCCTCTCTGATCTGACTTTTTCTGGCCACTGTCCTCCTCGTTCCTTGGCCCTGAACACCCAGCAGGGTGACCTCATTATATCTAGACTGTGTCCTCTGTCCCACCGCAGAGGGACTCGCGCCTCTAACCTGTAGATTCCAGCAAGACAGACAGCCTACTGGCTTAGTATGCCCTGCCTATGAGATACTGTCAAATGCACAATGCAGCAGGGGTGACCTCCACCTGCTCTGGAATCTACTTTCTTCCTCAGAGAGTTTCTAACCCAAGTGTCTGCTAGAGAAGAGGCAGGTGGACCGTATGAGATCAGGGCCCCTGGTTGTCCTAGCCTGGCTTTAGAGTCAGCATGGGAGGTGGGCGCAAAACAGGCAGGACAGCTGCAGGCTCTCTGTATGTCCTGCCCTTTGCACCTGACAATTAAGAGAGCCCGCCCCCAAAACCACAGCTGCTTCCTGGCTGTGGGTCTCAGGAGGATTCCTGGGGCTTTAAGCAAAGACGGTCATCACTCAAGCACACTGGCCTCTAGGGACCCCCTAGGGATGCTATCCCAGTCAGGGGGTAGGGAATATGAGCAGGCAAAAGTCTGTTCTGTTTTACCTTCATTTTCTCAGCCTCGCGGGTGGGGCTCCCCAGAACGCACATAGTACCGCACACACATTCCCCACCATGCCCTTGGATGTAATAGCAGCTCCTCTTTAGGTGTGAGGGGATGTGGCGGCTATGAGCGTTTAGTCATGAGTGTGAATGACAACTCTGTGTCTAGTGAATGTGAATAGCCAATCTGATAGAAGATACATGCGTGAACATGTGTGTGCCCTGTAATGGTGCCTTTGGTCTGGGCACAGCCCCCCCCCCCCCTCTCTCTCTCTCTCTCTCTCTCTCTCTCTCTCTCTGTGTGTGTGTGTGTGTGTGTGTGTGTGTGTGTGTGTGTACAACCCCATCCAAGCTTCAAGTGTTTGGGGGCAGCAAGGGTCCCATCCTAGCCACTTCTTCACCTGTTTCCTTATTACACATGATATCTCAATATGCCATGAACACATGAGCAGTCTCTTGGGACCGTGTAGAAATGTCCTGAGGCAGAGTTATGAACCCGTGGATAGGGTTGGGGGTCTGTGACGATGGCTACCCCCTGTGCAGCCTGTCCCCATCTCTCCTCTGTCATTCCTGACCACCATATCTGTCCTTTCCAATCATTCTTGGCAGTCAGGAGGAAGGCCTGCCTGATCCTGGTTCATCCTACCTGCCTCTTCTGCCCCTTGATCAACAGAAATCCAGCCCCCTGGCTCAGCCCACCCAGTCCTGTGCTGTGTGTATCCTGTCAGGCTGTCAATCAAAGCCATCTGCTTCCTAATCCCCTAAATCCCACCCAGACTGCACCTCCAGTAGAGAAACCCTCTGGCTCCCACATGACCTCAGTGTGTCACCTTGCTGTGCCTTGAACTCCAAGTGCCCTCTAGCTCGGCCACGAGTGTATAGTGAGTACCTTAGCGCACATGCGTGTACACACACACACACACACACAAAGTCTTAACTGTGTACCCTACATTGCCCTTCCTTCCTTCTCCCATCCTCTAGAATCTCTCTTATCCTCTGGTCATAAATCAGCCTGGCACATAGTTGCCCACAGTCTCCTGGCCAGATGCCATTGCTCAGTGCCCAGGGGTAACAGGGAGCGGATGTATAAGACTTTGGAAGCTGAACTTGTGGGATGGAATTGCTGTCAGCCTAAATGTTGGAGAAGTGAAGGCTCGGGGCCTATGCCTGAGCCAACTCAGCATGGGTTCCATTTGCCGGAAGCACGCTCACCCATGCGGTGTGGAGATTGCCCCTACTCTCTGGGAAATGCTGGCTCTCCCATTGGTCTGCATCAGCGTGTGGGACCCAGGACCCCTGGCTGCTGCTGGCCAAGGCCTTACCTCTCTCGCCTGTCTCCCAGCCAACCTCCTACTGGGCCACTCCTTGCTTCTGTAAACTCAAGCCCACACTGTTCCCTAAGTGCCTTCGCCCTGGGCTGTTATCTCTCTACAAAGGTTCCGTGTAAACTCAGCAGGACTGGAAGCCCCACACAGCTTCTGTATGTAGGAAGATGGAGAGAGACCCTTCCGTTGTCAGAACTGTTTACACAGAATGTTTGCTTCAGACGCCCCACTGCCCACCCCAGGGATCCAATGGGGCTTGCAGTGGCTGCCT